GTGCAATGTGTGTGTGAGAAAGAACCCAGAAATACCGATCAGGGACGAGTGTGCTTAGGGGCACACATCTAAAATATGTTGGGACAAGGAGAGGAGGACCGGAAGCAAAATCACAGCCAGGAGCCAAGTTCTTTTATCAGTGCAATAAAGCAAGTGGTGACTATGAGAAGGAAATACATCTTGAAATGGCAGGAAGCAGATTCCTAAATCCAAGGCAGCAGGTGCCCTCGGCAGGTAGGAGCTGCACTTTCTGCCAACACTGAGCCCCAGGGGGGCAGTGCTAAGGAGCAGCGATTAGGACAGATGCTCGTTAAGGAGTTAAATTGGTGTTAATCACCAAATACTTGACACCTGATGTTTCTAGGAACAGCCATTAACCGGCATTCCAGGTGAGCACTGCATGGAGGGTGCCTGCAGAGCACTACTCTGCATGGGCATGGGCAGGCGGCCCTGTGAGAGGCTTCGCTCTCCAGTTGGCTGTGCCCAGGAAGGGTGGTTAGCACTCGTGTCCTGTGTGACAGGCAGCTTCTTTGCCGTGACCTGTCCCCACCACGACAACTCTCAGAGCAGACTCTGACCACAGCCAGCCCTGCAGCTTGTCCTGCGAGGGAAATGGACGTTCTGGACAGAGGCCCCAGAGGGAGAAGGAAAGGGGACCCTGGATTCCATGTGGGCCCCCAAGGCCAGTCTCTGGAAGGGAGAGCTCCAGGACTCTCCAGAAGCCTCCCCTGCGCTGTCAGAAGGAACCTGGAAGGCTTCATCTCCCCCAGTGTTGCACAGATAAGTCTCCGGGGTTCCTCTGCCCTTTGACACCCTCCTCACAGGGAACCGAGCCGCTGGGCAGCGCTTAGGCAGGAGAGCACTTGGGCATCAGCATTTCACTCCTCAATGTCTCCCCTCAAACATCACCACTTCCAAAGAGGTCAGCATATCCTAAGGGCATTTTCCTCTCTCACACCTTGCAAGTTCACTATACTTAGGCCATAATTAGGGAAAGCAGGCTCACCAGGCATAAGGCAGCTGTCCAGGCTTGTGAGGAAGAAGGGCTGCTATGCAAGTCCAAGTCTATCCAACCCATGTTTCAACTACAGGAGGGGGCTAACGGGAGATGCCTCCAAACCATTCATGGCCCATCTCGCCTGACACACAACGCTAGGGTGAGTCAGGGCCATGGCTGAGTCGTAGGACATGCGGTTAGCATGTGCCAGGCCCCGAGTTCGATCCCAGGACCACAAAATACCGGCAAAAAAACAATAACAAAAAGCCCCGACTACTAATGTGATAAATACATTATACAAATAAAACACCATCCGAATATGCTCCAACAGGCGGATATGCCAAGCACAGGGAAGCCACATACTCATCTCTGTATCTGCAGCCTCCATCACGATGCAGAGCACTGCAGTCTCCCTGCGCCCTGCTGGACTCTCTCAGGAGCACCACCCTCTGTGGACACCTGTGTCCCACTGCACTACCTGCGCGTTCCGGCCTACCAACAGCAGGTCCGCACCCTAAGAATGCATCCTTAGGGTGCTGACATTGATGCAGCATGTTCATGAAAGAAAAGGTCCCACGCATGCGTGTGTGAGGCCAGAACCAATGTTTGGCCGCGTACAGATTCACACCTCAGGATGTGGACAAGTCTCGCCAGGAGTCACATCCACGCAGCCCTGCAAGACCCCATAAGAGCAGCAGGAGCTGAGGGCCAGCTCCCTCCCTCCCAGTGCTGCTGCTGCCGGCCCCAGGGGCGGGGCCCAGTCTGTAGCTTTCTCCCAGGCCACACCTGACAGCCCTGGCCTTTTCTCCCCTTAGGCAGGCACGCAGGGCAGGGTGGGGATGAGCAGTGCTAAGCGGTCTCCTCTTGTACTCCCTTTGTTAGTAAGCTTGTCCTTCTCATCTCAGCAGTGAAACTAGCCTAGGGGGTGTGAAGCTGAGCACTGGGGAGATTCCCGGCCACACCGCTCTCACAGCACTAGCACTGCACCTCAGCTATTCTGCTCCAACGCTAAGGACGCCAGGGCATGACTGCCCCAGCAGAAAGAGGGAAACGCTCAGGGAGGCACCATCTTTGCCAAGCTTCACAGATGTGGCAGGACATGCGCTGGCTTGTCGATGAACAGGTGGGTCCCCACCACTGCTGAGCAAATTCTTACAAACCAAAAAGTACATCAGGTCTTTTACACAAGGACAATGCAGTTCCTAATGAATCGGTCTGTGTTACAAACTGCATGTTTCTAGTACCCCAGAATGGACATTGGGATCCTAATTTCCAAAGCAATGGCACTAGGTCGTGAGGCTGTGTGAGGTGGCTGGGCCATAAGGACTGTGTCCTTGTGAGGCAATCAGTTCCTTTACAGGATGAGGCTGGGAAAGTCACGGGAGGACAGAGTACGACGGGCCATCTGCACATCAGGGAGAGAGGTGGGCCGAGTCCCACACTAACCGTGGACTCCCACGCTCCAGAGCACGAGAAATGAACATCAGTGGCCCCACTTGTGATGTTTGGTGGTTGCAGCACAGCAGACTAAGAGGCCAGAGGAGCAACAGACTTCCAAGTGAGCCAGGAAGCTATGAGAATAAAGTTCTAATTGAGCTCAGTGAATCACACACTGCTCAGCACTGTGAGAGACCCCAGCAGGAAGCGGGAGGGCTTAGGAGTCAGATCAGGCTCACAATCAGAAATGCGAAACATTTTTTCTAAGGGTGACCAAGAAAGCAAGATTTCATTGAAAATGACAACAGCCTGGTACCCAGGACCAGTAATTTTCAGCACAGTTTCATCACTGCTTTCTCAAGACTGGTCTCCTACAGGCACATAAATCAAATCATTCCCTGAATGTGCCTGACAAGCCAGGTACAAAAATGTGAAACAGGAATTCTAGATCCATCGCCACACAGCCAAGGCTGTAAGAAGAAAGGACACTGAGCAGCCCGGACAGAGCACACTCTACAGACCACAGTGGGCACCATGCAGGCCAAAGAGAAGGAAATCGGGGCACAGGCAGGTGGGAGATCCCTCCTCCTCTCTTGAAACAGTGCATCCCGCAGGCCCTGACCAGAAGCTGCCTGTGCCCAGCAGGGGGCTGGCCCTACCCTAAGAAGCTGCTTCATCCCATGGGCTTCCCAGCCAGGGCCATGTGCAGACAGAGGCAGGAGTCCTGCTGGGCCAAACCCACCGCCTCTGCTCCCTGTCCAGTTCTGTGCGGGGCAACCTCCACCCCCAGGGCCGTGTTTCCATCACACTAGTGACGGGCTGATTACTAGTACGCTCGTACAAAATGAAGGTGCCCATTACATGCGATTTTCTCCTTCTTGAGGAAAAACCAGTTTTTACAAATAAAAGTTATATATGTATTTTAGGGAAATTTTGCAATAGGACAGATGGCAGAAAGAAAAAAAAAACTGTTATTCCACTGCCTAAGCAGGTATCACTTTTCATGTATTTATTTCAGAATATATTTTGGTCCATATTATTACTTTTTAAGAATGGAACTTATATATTGCTTTAAACCTGGCTTTACCCACTTAGTAACATAAGCTTAAATATATCATTAATGTTCTTTTGCAACATTATCCGTAATGGTTGTAAAGTGAATTTTTATACTGAGGTACCATAAGTTAAATTCTCTATTGTTGGAAATAAAACTGGGTCTGATTTTTTGTTAGTATAAATAAGCTACTATGAATAGTTTGGCAGTTAATATTTGCAATCACTCTTATTTTCAGGAAAAATGACTAACAATAGATTGCTTAATTTAGATGTATGTAAATTTTTAATATTTTAAAAAATATATCATGCAAGTATACTCTTAAAAGGGTTTATCATAGGTTAAGTGTATACTAACAGAGTTTCTACTACCTCCTCACTTCCACTCAAGAAACATTTATTTAGGGCTGGGGATTATGGCTCAGTGGTTCTGCTGCCTGCCTCACAAGCGCAAGGACCTAAGTTCGATCCCCGGTACCAAAAAGAAATGTTTATTTAGCATTCACTAAATAGAAGCTGTTGTAGATACAAGGATACAAACATAAATGAAGAGAGGAGATTCTGCGCATTTAATCCCACCATGCGGAAGGGATGAGGGGCCGACTGGCGGACCTCAGCCGACCACAGGCAGAGGGGTGAGTGGGTGCCGTTCACCCCCCGAAGACCAGCAGCCCTCAGAGGCCCCGATCTCCGCCCAGGGTCTAGCTGAGCATCTCACTAAACATGAGGGTGATCTTACACGCTGTTCCTGCTGGCTCCCGAGTGAGCCAAAGGAGTAAGGAAGAGAACTGCAGATTCTGCTGGTCTCTCTAGACACCTCCTAGCTGGAAACCAGGACCAAGCTACCTGTAAAGCACACTGTGGATTAAGGGGAAAAGCTCCTCAAGGCCACTGCCACTCGTGCGCCGTCTCTGGTCCCACATCACGATTCTGGGCGTGACAACGTCTGTGACAGGGACGCGACCTCAGATCGCTTCTGCACCCAAGCTCTACCGCCCCCAGCTTCTGTCTGCTGTTACTTTAAAGGCCACCTACTCAACGTGGGCACAGAGGGTCGCATGGGCTCCTCTAAATTACCAGCGCAGAACACGCAGTTGCCCCACTGACATGGACTCAGCCAGAGCCCTGTGCGAGGGCTCACTTCCTGGCTGGGCCATGGAGAGTCCCGTCCAGGACAGAGATGGCTTTTTCCAGCCTCCAGAGCTCTCTGGGTCACTCAGCCTGCTTAGCACAGAAGGGCCCAACACCCTCGCACTCAGCGCCACTTGCCCTGCTCCTCCGGTCACAGCTTTGTCCTTAAATCCTGTATGTCAGGCTTAGAGGCATGAGACTCATGCTTTGCTCATTTTACAAAGCCAGGAGGGAGACCCTCCTGATCACACAGCACAGCAATACTGACTGCGTTATTTACAAAGAGAGAACAGCATCTCACATATTCTCTGCCGAGTAACAGATTTGTGTTCTCAGAAATTACAGGGTGCTGCAAAACCTGCAATGGAAAGGAAGCCCGTACCTGGTAGAAGTTAGGCCAGAACGTGCTGATGGCCAGCTCCGCCCGGTTCCATCTCCCCGTCGGAGCCCCCGACAGATTCCAGATGGGGCTCCCCAGAGCTCCGCTATTGACCTTCACATACACGTTGAGGAACCCGGGAGCAGAGCTGCTCTTGCTGGATACAAAGTAGTGGAAATCGATGCAGTGCGTGTCGTTCTCCTTCAGCTGAGGGAGCAGCAGGTGGGCTCGCTGGCCCTCGGGCCGCCCCGACCCGTTCACCATCATGAAGGAGCCTGTGGAGACAAAATGAAGGACTCACAACCCAAATTCACGTTCTGGTCACGTACTGGGGGGATGCCTCTGCAATCCACGTCTCTCTTAACCTTAAAATTCCACCCTTGCCTTGTCAGAGCATCACTACCACCCCTCTCGTGCCGGCCGGTCTCCTCGGTACATGAGCAGGACAGGCCCTGGGTGTCAGTGCCTCGAGCCTCCAGACCCCAGACACAGACAGTGCAATGTGTGTAGGCCTGGCCCCATCGGCCTGGTAGTCAGAGGCCACCTGTGGCATTTACAGGAAGACTAATTAAAACCCACTCTGGAAGCCGTGCAGTCCGTCCCCGCAACCACACAGGACTCCTTTCTACCCCAAGGGAAGCACACAGGAGAGCCCTTGTCTTCTCCAGGGCCTGGGGCAGCTGTCCTGTCACTCACTGCCATCTGTAACCAAGCCGCTTCGCACCCCTGTAACCTGAGCGAGAAGTGGGGTTCTCTGGTGTGGAGTCTTGGGGTCCATGTCACCGGATCTTTGGGGTTCAGCACCCCTACCCCTGGTGCTGCTGTGACAAGTGGGACGGGGCTGATCGCACTGGTGTGAGCATCGCCCCCAGAGGAGGACCTCAGAGGACCCCACTGTCCCTGAGGCCCGGCACCGGTTGCTCTGCCTGTTTCTGGAGGAATTTAGCTGTCCAGAGCCCTACCCATGTCTAAGACTAAGGGGTGTAGCACCTGAAAAAATATATAAGCAAATGCTCTAAGAAACAAGGGAAAGCAAATTATCAAAAGTCCTCTTTGGCAGAGAGGAAAACCATACTGAGAGTGTAAGAAGGAGGCCCACTGACACTGAGGCATTAAATCAGAGAAAATAGTACTATCGATGAGGCTGGATTCCCAGTTCCTCCCCAACTCCCCTCACTGTGAATCACAACGGTCAGACGGTGCGCACGTGTGTTGGTGTATACACGTATGTTTTCGTGCGTGCCCACGCATATCTGTAAGCAAACAGTACTAGGAAGTGCACAGCACTCCTCTCCACATGCTGTGATTTCCCAAACAACACACAGAAAATTATTTTATATCAGGAACACAGAAAATAGAAACACAGACACCCCTCTGTATGGTGGTTACCATCACGGCGCCTTGTGTGAAGTGTGCTCCTTTCAACCCCATTTAAATAAACAGGAACGAATTTGCAGAAGGGTTAGAAGCAACAAACCCAGGTTTTAGGCTGAGTCACTGGCCAAACCAGAACTTCCTGCCTCTCAGTTTCCAACCAATCACTTACCTGTCGCACTCCAGTAAGCTCGTGTGTCATGCGAACACACACGAGAAGAGAACGCCTCTCTACCACAGTGAAGGGAGTCACAGGAGCTATTTCAGAGTAAAGTAATTTTTCAAGAGATGAATGTTATGCACCTGAAATATAAAAGCTAACCCAGAACGGAAGGGAGATCTGGGAAGGTGCATTTCAGTAATGAAGAAGGACTTCAAATGGGACTTAAGAAAGACTCAGGACGCAGGCTGAGTGACTGCAAGCTGTGCAGGGGCCAGGTGGGCAGCTGCTGGGAAGATGCAGGGCTGGCTAAGGAGGCGCCACCCGCCAGCCCCTCCCACCCACCAGGGGCGCCACCTGTCTACACCACTGGGGAGCTCCAGAGTTAGCCCAGCCCAGTAAAAGATCCCAGGGAATTCTGCTTTACATTATGCCATTGGGAGGAGCTTGAAAGTGAGTCATCAGGTGATTCAGCTTCTGACAACTTGAATCATGTGAGCCAAAGAAGTTGTGACAGTGACACAGAACCAGATATGACAGAAACAGAAGTAGGGAATGAAGACCTTGATGCAGCCAAGGAAGAAAACAGCAATGTAAATAAATGTTTGACTAGTCAAAATGCTACCAACTTGTCATGGATACCAGAATGACCCAGCATTAGAACTAGGTCAGAAAATGTTATTAGGTTCTTTCCAGGGGTGAAACCTATTGGAATGCTAATGCTGCAAATCAGTGTTGGAAATTGTTTGTAATGGACGATATGCTACCAGATATTTTGGAATATACTAAAATGAAATACAAGTAAAACATTCTATATGCATCAATGGTAATACTCGAACAAAAATTTATCGTAACACCTCACTATCTGAACTAAAATCATTCATAGCAGGACTTTATCATTCTAATCCCCAGACTCTAAAGGATTTATGGAAAAGTGCCAGATTAGGCATTGAGCTTTTTAGAATACTGACTTGCAAGGTATTTGATTTCCTTCAAAACAGCCTATATTTTGATGACAAAGACCTGCCGAGAGAGAAAAAATTCTGCCAATTTGGCTGCTATTCACTCATTTTTTGAAAGCTTTGTTTCAAACTGTCAAGCAATTTATACACCATCTGAACACATGACAGTTGACAAACAACTTACATTATTTTGTGTTTGTTAAAGCTTTCGGTCATATATGCCAAATAAACCTTCAAAATACAGTTTAAAAATATATGCCCTGGTAGATGCAAAAAACAGTTGAATTTAGAAATTTATTCTGGAACTCAGCCACCAGGTCTGTATTTGTACAGCATGTGAACAGACATGTTGCACCAATTTCAAAAAGTAACCAAAATGTCACATCTGACAACTGGTTCACAAGTTACCCATTGACGTTACATTTGCTAAAAGAATACCAGTTGATCAGCACAGGAACTATTCCAAAGAACAAAGGAGAGATTCCTGAAAAAATGTAGCACGTTCACAACAGAGAAATGTACAGTACCGTCTCTGGATTTCAGAAAGATATAACATTGGACTCCTATGTGGTGAATAAAAACCAACTAGTATTGATACTGTCAACATTATACCATGTTGAGTGAAGCTCACCGCGATAAGTAAAGCTGGGTGTGGAGGTACACATCTGCAACCCCAGCACTTGGCAGGTTTAGGCAGGAGGATCCTGTGAGTTCAAGGTCAGCCTATGTTACATAGTTCAAGGCCAGCCTGGACTACATAATGAAACCCTGTTTCAAAACACACTCCCCACACACAAAAAAAGAAAAGAAGACTGGTAGCGAATCCCCAACACAAATGAAATCAGAAATGGTCACATTTTACAACAAAATGAACGTGGGACAGATGTCCTCCATGAGTTATGTAGCAACTATGATGTCACTCAAAACAAAGCAATGCCCAATGGTTATGTTTTACTCCATCCTAAAGATGTCAGCCGTAAATAGTTTCACAATTTATAAAAAAAAAAACACACACAAAATATCACAGGGAAATTTTCTTAGAGGATTGGGATTAGAATTGATAAATAATCAATTACAACAGAGGAAGGAAAATCTCTGCCCCAGAAACTCTGCAAAAGAATTCTGGAGCAGACTGGTCAAGACTGGTGAAACACCACAAGAACCTCTGAAGAAAACAGAAACACCAGCAAGGTGTCCAGTGTGTCCTAAGAAAGGAGACAGGAAAACACAACACACATGCTATCAGTATAAGCAATACTTGTCTATGAAACATGCCATTTCCATGTGTGAAGACTGCCTTAGATGTGATAAATGAAGTACAGATTATTTTTGTGGTAGTTTTATTTGTATATTTGTTGTAGGTCACCTAAAAATTTGTTTTGTTATGTATTAGATTTAATATGCAAATAGTTAATGTTGAAAATATTGATGTTTACTCTAAATGCTCATTACATATTTGATATTTTATTTGATAATTTATTTTCCTGCTAAGTGCACATGGTTATAATGTAATAGAAGCTCCTGACAAGAGAAGAAGACAAGAGAGGTGACAAGTATGGCCTGCCAGACAGGAAAAGGAAGCTAAGCACACATGCTGTCACTGTAAGAGAGACACATATATGGAACACGCTAGTGTCTGGTGTCATATGAAGAACACCCTAGGAGTAGTAATTGAAGCAGATTATTTCTGTGGTAGTCTTGTTTGTATTTTCACTGTAGTCCACACAGGAATTTATTTCTGCTGTTAATTTTTAGATTTTGCAAGCAGGTAAACAGTTGATGTTGAAAATGTTGGGGTTTATTCTAAACACTCATTATGTATTAAAATGTTAATATTTTATTTTCCTGTTGAGTGCATATTGTTTAATATAACAAAACTCATACATTTTTTTAAAAAGAAAGAAAGAGAAGCTGGGCATAGTGGAAGATTGCTGAGATCCCAGCTCCTGGGGAGGGTAAGGCAGGACCACTGGTCCAGCCCAGGAGTTCAAGGTCAGCCTAAGAGAACAACCAAGTGGTGAGAAAGGGTCACTGAAATAATCTGGGCGAAAACCTTCAAAACATGCAAACTGAGCCAAAGCAGGTTTTGAATGCTGGGTTAAAAACATGTTTTTGTGGCCGGGCATGGTGGCGCAGACCTGTAATCCCAGCACTCAGGAGGCTGGGGCAGAAAGATTGCTGTGAGTTCGAGACCAGCCTGGGCTACATAGTGAGTTCCAGGTCAGTCTCAACTACGTAGTGAGACCCTGTCTCAACCCCCCAAAAAACAAACAAACGAAACAAAAATGTTTTTGTGCTCTTAGTAAAATACAAGCTGCTCTACTACACATGCTGCCACAGTCTGCTCTGCTCCTCGATCCGTGACCAGTTGTGATGAAGATGGGGTCAGCTCTGGATCATCAAGACCCACAGTCCCACCACCTGCCACAAAATCGCTCCTCAACCTGAGGACCTCAGTGACAAAGACGGCGATGTGAACAGGACGACAGCACATGCCGTGAAGACAATGCGCTCGAAGCTTACAGAGAGGTGATTCTTTCTGTCCACCACTGGAGGTCGGTGCCTCTGTAAAGCTACTATTCTGAAGGTCACCCGGGTCCCCAGAAATACTGTCTTCCTAGCCACGGGGCCTGTCCCCCTGTGCTTACCCACTGGGCTGCTTTCCAGGCGGCTCCCTGAGTCATCTAGGACACACAGCACACAGAGCTGGGCACATCTCAGGGCTGATCTTTTATGCACAGAGCAGTCCTTGTGGTCCAGTTCTGCCATCTACGTCTCA